TGATATAAGAGTTATTGATATGTAATGAATCAATAATGAAGTTGAATTAAATTGACATGTGGTTTAATGGTAAAACCCTAATTCAATAACCTTTCAAAACCCATGAGTACTTTTGTCAACAACCAAAAAGGAACACAATGAAGGACAATTGTTCACTCAAACTTGCGAATTCAAATCTAAACCAAAAAAAAAAGTGTAATACCGAATTTTGTTGACAAAATTCACACTGAAGAAAATAATACATAACTTCAGTGTTGAAGTCCATTATTCATTTCTCTTGCCTAAAACCCAAATTAAATTACCTGGTAGTAAATCTGCGATTATGCCATGTGCCTCCCAGATTCTTCCAATAATCCTCGACAAACACTGACTTTTCCTAAATTGTCCTCATAAAACAAACACATAACATTTATCGAAAAAATAACATCGAATCAAAAGAAAGGAACAGACATAAATTAAACTGAGAAAGAGACATATTTTGGTGGTGAGAAATGAAGCAATCTGAGGTCAATCGTGGATACCAAATTTTGAAAGTCGGTTTCTTGAGACCAAATTTTGAAATTTGAAAGTCGGTTTCTTGAGACCAAATTTTGGATATGGAGCTGATGTTTAGAAGGGTTCAGAGTAAGCGATATGGCTTGGTAGGAGTCAACCTCATCAATTGATCTTTGTGGTGCATACATAATCAACGGTGAGGAGGTGGGGTCGATGAATCGGAGCACCAATCGAAGAAGGTAGGTGTCGCTCATCACAGGGACGTTAGCGACAGAAAACCCTAATATTGAGCTTCGCTTTGAGGTCGAGAATCAGTTTGTGGTATGATAACCACCACCACTCCACTGCCACGATGCCTTACTGCTATCGTTGACCCTCCTACCTTGCCACCTTCATATGACCAAGAGCATCGACAAAAGCCATCACCACTAGTTTCCTTTGTGTTTCTTATCTATCTTCTTTATCTAGATCTTTCATCTTGTCATTGATTAATTTTTGCAACAGATCGATCAATTCGGAGACGGAAAAGTTGCATGTTGATGACGGAGATTGAGCAGATCCAGTGGAGCCCTAATCGAAATACAGAAAGAGGTGGAAAGGAAAAGGGATGAGGTATGTAGAAGGTTGAGAGAGAAAGGTGGTGTGAGATACCGAAATCAAGATAAGGGCTTGATGGTCGTCGGACATCGATGGAGAGCGGAGGAAGTAAGAGCGATCGAATTCAATGGTGGTATATAAAGGAAAAAAGGAGTCGGTGAAGAAATAGAAAAAAAGTGATGGGGTGGGAAGCACAAGTAGATGGGAGGATGATAGATTAGAGTCGGTGGAGAACATCGATAAAAGTCTCTACGATGGTGGGTTATTGTGGAGACAGCACGTAAGGTGCCAGCAAGCAAGCAAAGAAAAAAACTTAAAAGAAAAACAAAAAATCATCCAATGAAACAAAAGTACTATTCCTTAGAGAACAAAAAATTAATAGTATTATAATTTACTTGAAGGTAGTAAATTTCTTTTTTTTTTTTTTTGGTGAGTTTATCATTTCCTTTTTAAAATTACAATTAATCTTTATGTTTTACTATTAGGTTTGTGCACTATTTGAAACCGAATTTGATAATTTGGATTGGACTATTTGGTTCGAATATTCAGATTTTGAATTGATTTAAACGAAACTGAATTATAATTTTTTATTTCGGATTAGTTTTTGCTTATAAAATATGAACCGAATAGTCCAAACAAAAAAAATAACAACTTTTATTTATTTTTAATATATATCTTAAATGATTTATAAATTTACTAAATTATTTTTTAATTATTAGAAACTTTCATTCAATATAATACCTTAATATTTAGTTCTTATCAAAAGTTTTTTATCAATTAAAATACTAAACTATAATCAATGTTTCTTAGTTGTTTATAAACTATAATCAATGTTTCTTAGTTGTTTATAAACTATAATTCATAATTAAAAGGCTTTTTAGATACTTTTATAGAGTTGACTAATATTTAAGTTATATATCTTTTAAATGTCTCGCCTCTTAAAACTGAATTGTAAAAACCTATCCAACCGAATTGAAATTTGGTTGTATTAGATTAGATTTGAATTTAGTTTGGATTATTCGAATCCATGATTTGAAAACCGAAATCTATTTGGATTTACTTGATCGGATCGGATCGGGTCAAACCGATCCATCTAATCGAACACCCCTATTTACCACCGTTATCAAGGTTGTTTCCTGCTACCAACATGTTTATCAAGGTTGTTTCCGGCTACCAATATGTTTAGAAAAGCCAAAATTAAATCTAAAACACTTAACACCAAAGAAAAATCAAAACAATAGCAAATATGTCTTGAAAATTAAAGTGATAAACCAAAATTTAATTCTGAACTAATGATTGATCTGGTCGAAGTAAAAACTGGTCGATCAGGATTGAAGGAATTTGAGAGAGCATAGATTAGAACAAGATGAACAAACATGTAGCAAAGATGAACTTGATACGATGTTTATGCAACACATATCATGGGCTTCATGTATATAATTTGTTGGTTTAACCGTTGCTATCAAATGACCTTGTTACTGATGGATTTTCAGTTTGGTGGCATCATTTGCATGTCTTTTACTGGCTCCACCAATTCCACTTGAGATTTTGTAGCTTTTATTTCACAATTCTCGGGCAAACACTTACCCGACTCCATAATTTGAAATTGATAGCTATCCTTTGATTAGGTTATACATGATTAGACTTATCCTAGATAGCATCGTTTTCAGAATGTATAATTTGTTCAATGCCATTAGTAGTTTTTTCACCTGGGGTTTTCGATCGGAATATGACAAATTAGAACCTTTTCATTATCGACTTTATTATTCATAACAGGCAACCATAAATGGGAAAAGATAAACGACGATCATCCCACCTTCATGATCTCCTTCTTCTAACAGTAAAAGAATGAAGAGACACAAAACGCATTGTGATGTACAACAGTTATATATATATATATATATATATATATATATATATATATATATATATATATATATATATGTTCAGGTTCATTTGAGACCATTCTAATTTTGTGAGACCGTGAGACCAAATCTAAAAATAATTTTAAAATGCAAAATAAATGGAAAAATCCAAAAATTTCTTTTTTTAAATATTATTTTCGGAACTTGAATTAACTAAAAAAATATAAAAAAAATATAAAATAAAATAAAATAAAATAAAATTTCCGTTATTTTTTTTGAAAAATACGTGAAATATTCTAAATAGAATATTACACTGATATATTCTAAAAAATAATTTTAAAATGCAAAATAAATGGAAAAATCTAAAAATTCTTTTTTTAAATATTATTTTCGGAATTTGAATTAACTAAAAAAAAATTAAAAAAAATTCTATTTTTTTTAAAATACGTGAAATATTTTAAATAGAATATTACACTGTACATATTCTAAAAATAATTTTAAAATGCAAAATAAATGGAAAAATCAAAAAATTCTTTTTTTAAATATTATTTTCGGGACATGAATTAACTAAAAAAAATAAAAATAAAATAAAAAATGCGTCTCACGATCTCACAAAATATAGGTGGTCTCAAATGAACCTAACCCTATATATATATATATATATATATATATATATATATATATATATATATATATATATATATATATATATAGAGAGAGAGAGAGAGAGAGAGAGAGAGAAAAAGAAAGAAAGAGAAAGAGAGGTATGTTTATATGTGGATGAATAAATATTGTATGGATTCGTGTCGTATCGGGTTCGTGTCGTGTCAAGACATTAAACGGGTTGAAAGGGCTTGACCCTAACCCGACCCGTTTAATTATCGTGTCGTGCCGTGTCAACCCGTTTATTTTTGTGTCAGGTTAAGGTTTAGACCTTGTAAATATGTTGTGTCATGTCGTGTTGAAATATTTTAAAGGTTAAAAAGTATGAGTTGTGGAGGCAAGAAGAAAAAGTGAAGCACTAGAGAGTTATGAGATTGAATGACAAATTTTATAGTAAGTTTAGAAGGAAAAATGAAAAAAATTAAAGTTGGGAAGGGAAATGGATAGGTGGTAAGGATGACTAAAATTAAGTAACTTTGAAAATTTAAATATTACTTCTAAGTTTGGTTCATTACAAGTCTATAATATATAATATATTAATAAAAATATGAAATTTATAATAAAGAATATATAATTAAACGGGTCATATTCGAGTCATCTTCGAGTTGAAAGTTTTGACTCTAACTCTACCCATTTAATTATCGTGTCGTGTCGTATCAACCCGTTTACATAAACGTATCAAAATGTCTGACCCTAACCCACTAATTTCATGTCGGGTTCATATCGGGTTTTCGTATCGTGTCATTTTTTGTCAGATCTAATCTTGGCCGAGACCATCATCATCCTCTTCATTTCTTCACTTCATATTTCCTTCAAACACTCTCTTATGTTCCCTCTCAAGCACAACAAAAATTCCTTCATCCATCTCTTGCAATTTTTGTGATCTTAGTGTACTGACATAATGTACCAAAAAAAAAAAAAAACTTTAAGGACCAAATTAACCAATTAAAAGAAAGTTTGATATACATTGAAAATCCCTTGTCAAACTACCCCATATTAGTAAATACTTTTTCCAATAACCTTTATTCGGTTAAAATCTCAATAGATATTAAGATAAATAGAATAAAATAAAAGTACATCATTCATATTACTGTATATAAATTGGCGCAACAATTTTCTTTTTTGCCTATTTTAGACACCGGCAGTGTACTACACTGCCACCACTCGTTACGGTGAGCGGTAAAACCATGGTCACAAAATCTATCAACAAAAAGCCCCTGTTTCCTCACTATCGCTCTCCCCCTATAAATTCGGCATCCAGTATTTAATTTATCATTAAGTAGATCCACCACAATCAACGATAATCAGCTATAAACTGAACCGATCTTCCCCTGAGTTCTTCATAATTCATATACAATTAAAGCGATCGACAGATTAGGAATGTGCGGTGGCAGTAATCACGATCACGGCAGGTGTAGATACGAAGCTGCGTTCCACGCCTTTCAAATGCAAAAGCAGCAGCTACATACCCCGTCAGCAGATGTTAAGCGAGATGGTCTAAGACGATATTCCGGTGAGATGCAGCCGGAAACGAAGGATCGGAAGCGAATCAGGGAACTGGTGAAGGCGGAGAAGGTGCTCCACTTGATTTTGTGGGGACCTAACTCCTAAGTCATGATTTCTTATCAGCTTATTATGCGTTTGATTGGGATTATTAGCCGACTCTACTAGTATATAAAATTGGTAGAAATTAAGGAAAGTTGTATTTCAATGAACAATATAATGATATATGCATATAAAAAAGACGATAGGGGCATGTCATATATGTGTATTTCGCCAAGGATATTTTGAAATAAGATAAATTATTTTCTATCATCACAAACTCTACTTGTTTCTTTCTTTTTTTTTTAATTTTCATTTCAACATTAAAGTTTCGTATCATGAAGCACAAATACTTAATATACAGATGTGTAGCAACTAATTGTTTACATAACTCTAAAACAGCACAAATAGAATATAAGGGTTAGAAATAGTGGTTCTATAAAGAATTGCTTATGGAAATCATATATGGAAAAACAGAAAAATAATTGTTTAAAGAATTGAATTTTTTTTGTTAAAAATAGATATTTCTTTAAAAACATTAAGTTGAATAGGTTGCCTTATCTGGGTTGAGCTCCAAACTTTTGGATTTTGGTCATGAACCTTGACTCATAGCTAACCATGTTATAGGAATGAGTCTGTTATGGATTATGGGCTAATAACTATATCATGTTTAATGCCATTATTTCAAACATAATCTGGTTGTTATTAATTTATCTATTAAGCGATGAATTATTTTGATTTCAGGTGCGAGTAATGGGAACGATTAGTTATTCTTTATATTTTCAAAATCTCTATCTCTAATAAAAACCTCTCTAAGGTGCCACATGTCACCCTTTTAATCCACCTTCTTGCCACGTGTCACTCCTCCAACGTTTTACTCCCTAATTTTCCCGCCCAGTACATCATTGCTTTATTCGACCATCACGTCCTATAAATCAGATTTTCGGTTTTCATCATTTCAAATCCATTTTATTTTTAAACCTAATTCAAAACACGATCTGTTTCCATCTTTAGCAGTTACCAAGAGATTATGTGAGCGGAATTTTTGTGATGATCACCATATCTCACAAAATCATGAAGGTAATCTCCGTATTTATAGGTTTTTTCGAATTCAAATAACACGAAAAAGATGTATGATTTGTGAAAAGTTATTAATTTTTTATGGGTATTTATGCGTTTTACTCTTCTTTATGATTTCATCATCAGGTAATCCTTTTCATTTGTGTTTTTGTCCATTTATTCCTCTTAAACCCTAATCCTCTTCATCATCTCAATAAGTTGTTTTTCTTCATCTTATTCATTTTATATCTTTTAAATAGCAACCCTCTTAAAACCTTATATCTAATCGCTATCACGATCGTCTTCTAACCTCACCCCTTGCTATCTGTTGTAATATTGTTGATTTTTATCATAGATAATGTGGTTGTTGGTGACGAAACCGTCAATTTTAGGGAAATATTTTATCAGAGCAATGACTATGATGATTGATATTGTGTATCCTGTCAGCTATATGATGCTCTCACTATTCATACGTGTAGGTTCTTGAATTCATAGATTTAGAAGTTATGTGAAACACTTTTGCAATGCCTTTACTCAGTTCCTTTTAGGTAATACAGTGCATATACAAATGATGAAAAATGTTCCTAAGTTTCTTAACCTTAGTGCCCACTGGGTGTTTGACAAAATGTCACAAAGAAACCTACATTTCCTTTGTTTCTATCATTAAATAAAGTAGAGTCAATAATTTCATTTTTTTTTAGGGTTTAACTGCTTTTATTGAGTTTTTAGTAATTATTTTAAAGAAAATTTCACTGAATTGAAAACTCCATTAGATTCATATTAAATGGTTTTTTTTGTGAGAACTCATCATGTGACAATTTTTTTATTCGTACAGGTTGCTCGAGATATAGATTATCATGATAATATATTATCATCTCACCAGAAGGTTAATCTAGAAGAAGTGATTGTTGGACGGTAATTCCTCATTAAATGTTCTTCCTGCTTTGTCAACTTCCAAAAATTATTTCATTTTGTTTTCATAGTTGTGTTGAATTATCTGATTGATATGAAATGCAGAGCATGTTCTACCAATGTGTTTTTATATAGTTGGTTAAAAGGGGTGGAATATTGGTACCCTCTAAATTAGTAACAACATGTTTTTGTCTTTGCAGGAGGGTTTTAAGGCTATGCCTGTTGTTTTTGGTATCATATTGGATTATTGGCTACTGGACTAATTTATTTCAATGTTTTTTTTGCTTCTTATTGTTGTTCTTCCATTATTATTTTATATGAAGATAGGACAAATGTTGTGCTTAAGTTTATTGCTTTAATGCTTTTATATGCTTGCAGTACGTAAATTTCAGAAACTAATATTTTATGATGACACCTCATATGTGTTTGATGAAATGCTTAATATGATTGCATTCTCTTAATCATGATTTTCAAACAGATTTTATGTAGCTTTTCATGCCTCCATTTTTTTCTATACGATTATCAGCTTTTGTGAGGACTTCATCAATGAAAATGCCTTTTGTATTGCTTTTTACATGATAGATATTTGGTAGTTTCTATGATCTCTTCTGGTTAAATTTGGACTTGATTATGCATTGATTACCAGTTTAATACATTTTTGATTGACTTAGTGTATTTTTGATGTAATCCAATAAGTCATGGACAAAATCCGCTCTCATCTTCAAATGTATATTAATGGTTATTTGGATAGATAAACTCCAAATGAAGCTCAAAAAGTTGTAGAAGGATTGCAAGTCACATAATATAAACATGCCGCTGATGTTGATTACCTACAGGTTTGTGCTTTCCTCCTATTCCTCATGTATCATCAAAAAATGAGTTAAATCTTGATTTTCCCACCTATATTCAATAATTACTTGTTGCACATCTCAAGTTATACATAAATGAAAGAATTTCACTTTCTTGATGTGGGTTTGCATATCAATCAAATTTGTTACATTTTCTAAAAATGATGTTTGTGATAATTTGTAGTATCTGCTAGACATTATTATGTAGGAAGTTGCACTTAGTTGATATAAACTACCACATGTTTTGACTCCATTACTCTTGGAAATAATTTTAAAAAATAAAGTTTAAATTGCCTAAGTGTAAAGCTTAAGATGTTGGACCAGTCTCTTTGAGCTGATTGTTGTTTATTAAAAAAAATTAAGTACGAACCCCTTTATATTTACTATTTGGTAATGTTTGGTTTGGTGAAACCAGATAAGAAATGGAATGGGTTATTCCATTGGAATAAAAAGGTTGATTGTTTTATCATGATGGAATAGAATAAATCATTAATGAAGGATTCAAATTTCTTCATTTTTCTTAATTTTCGTTCCTTAGGTGGGAGGTGTTTCTTTTTTCATTTTCATCATGTAATGTAGTTTGGAAGTTGTAAGATAAGCCAATTTTATTTATAAGTTTACTTTATAAAAAATCATTTTAAAATTTCATGATTCTGAATTATAACAAAAAAAAATGAAAGAACAATGTTATTTCCTATATCTTATATAATTCTTTGGTTGTTGAACAAAAATATCATAAGTGAACATTTCTTCATTTAAATTTTAACTTCCTAATCTTTTAACCCTAGGAAAATTTATCCAAAATAAAATTCTATTAGCCATCTAAACTAGGATGCTAAAGCATGCAAAGAAATTTAAGATCTTCCTAATTGTATAACATCCTACTTTCTCTGTTTTATGTTTGTAGCATTGTACTTTTGATTTTTCTTTTCTTATAAGGTATTTTACTTTGAAAAAAACCTACCTATTTAGAGATGACCAAATGTGTAGCCGTATGATCAAAATTTCACTCTATCAGCCTGTTGATAAGCTATGTGTTCCTTTTATTTCTTTTTAAATTTCCCACCATTTCAATGCTATTAATTTTTGTTATTTATTATTTACATGATGTTTGATTTTTTGTAACTTCCATTAAGTTTTAAACTAAATCCAGTTACTTGGAGAACATTGTATAATCCAACAACTCTTAGGTGTATATTAATATCAATAAGATGATAAACTAATATTTTTATTGGGTTTGATTTTAACATTTTGGGATTTTATTTGGTTGCATTATCATAAAAATGATAATTATACTTGATTCAAGATTTTATCCGCATGTTATTCTTTTGGTCTATATATATAATTAAGCAGACCATCGGACTACAAATGTTACTAACCTAACTTCTAAATATTTGAATAGTCATACACAATTTAGATTTATGAAATTCATTTTTCATTATAGATTATGACTTAAAAACATCTATGATTTCAAATTAATAAAAAATTTCTTATTATTGATCAATCATTGCCATATGATTTATTTATAACTTTTTTTTTTTTTTCATTTTCACCCGTGGTATCCACGGGTTATAACCTAGTAATCATTATATAAGATTAGATGCATCTATTTTGGTTCATGATAACTTTACAATTAGAATAAGAGCACAAAAAAAGATATTTGTATGTTTAAAATATGAACTCTAATCAAACAATTAATATTTTTAAAATTAAGAAATTCTAAAATATTAACAATCTCTAATACTTTTTTTATCTCAATAAACAATTTTATAACGCATTTAATTAGTATAGACCCATCATATTTTGTGACAAAACACTCATTTCATGTGTCAACAAATCTCAACATAAACAACAATAATATACATTTTTTCTTCATCAAACTGATAGTTTACAAGAAAATTCAAGGAGCCACAAAAACTTATGAACCAGGGGCGAACTTGGTGGCATAGACCCATGCATTGTTAGCCACAGGGTCATCCAAATGGTCCAAAAGGTTCTCCAATGGTCCTTTCCCTGTTACAATTGCTTGAACAAAAAACCCAAACATTGAAAACATTGCTAGTCTTCCATTCTTGATTTCCTTCACTTTCAACTCAGCAAATGTAACCGGGTCGTCAGCAAGTCCCAACGGGTCAAAATACTGACCTCCCGGGTACAAGTTGTTACCATCTCCAACACCATCGAGCCCGTTGATACGGAACCCTTCAACTAGGCCCATTAGGACCACTTGAAAACCAAGTACTGCTAGTATGCTTTGTGCGTGGACCAGGTTAGGGTTGCCCAAGTAGTCTAGCCCACCTTCTGAGAAGATTTGGGATCCGGCTTTGAACCAAACGGGCTCCTTGAAATCCACTTTGACCCATTTTGCAAGGACTTCGGGCGTGATGGAGCCCAGTGCTCCGAGCATTGCCCATCGCCCGTGGATCACCTCAAGAGCCCGGTTTTTAGCGAATGCCTCGGGATCAGCAGACAAACCAGCTGTATCCCAACCATAGTCGCCCGGGAATTCACCGGTCAGGTAGGATGGTGTTTGAGCCGAAAATGGGCCCAAGTACTTCACACGGTCTGGTCCATACCACAAGTCATTTCCCTATTAAATTTCACAATAAATAATTAAATATCATCAGTTTACTGCAATGTTGCAAAAGTCGTTAGAAGCTAGTTGATCTAAGGTTAGTCGAGATACATAAATTGTAAACCATTTAATTATAGAAAAATCAAATATAACCAAGATCCAAATACACATTTTCTACTACAAATACAACAATAATATTTTTAGACACATTTTTTAATTACAAAAATCAGATATGTAACATTTGAAAAAATTAATATTCTGTAACTTTTGGAGCTAATTTTTCATTTATAAACATATTAACGGCAGCAGTGAATTTACATAAATGTTGTGAGAGGGATAGATGTACCATGGTGAATTTGCCATTGACCATGGAGACAGAATCTCTAAGAGTGTTGGCATTGGATCCTTTGGTTTGACCCAAGAAAGGGGTGGCTCGGACCACAGTTGTGGAGCTAGAAGCAGTTGCAGCCATGGATGCCATTGATGGGAGCTTCAATGAGATCGACTGAGGAAGAAGCTGTAGAAAGAGGGGGTATGTGTAGGCATCGGGAATTAGAGACTTGTGGCTAATATTGCGTTGTGGTTTTTTGACAAATAAGCAATTTCATTTGCACCAATCAGAACACTTGAAAATATATCTCATATCTACATTCCATATTTGCCCTATCTATTATATCAAACATTAGAATATTCGATGAGACATGTCATCTGGATTTAAATGGTTTCAAATTTAAGCCCTTGTTTTTTTTTTTTTTTTTTTTTTTAAATCTGCCTATTACGTAAAAAAAATCCCAAATTTTATTTGATATTATAGAGAAGATGTTTGGTATTGACTAGTTGGATATAAAAGAACATTAATCATAAAAAGTGAGAGTATTTTTTTTTTTTCGTTTATATGAGGAACTAATGTCGTAATTTACCGAGATAATTTACCAAAATGCAACGATCTAAAAATCATTGAATTATATTTTTTTTAAAAGATGTCATCATGTTGGTGTTATTAAAGGGAAGAGAATTTGGTATTATAAAATATTTCTATATTCTGGATGAAAGCCCAGCCTCTATAAAGACAAACAGATGGAAAGCCCAAAAACAGGGTAGATATAAATGCGGTGAACGTGGATCGAACACGTGACCTTCAGATCTTCAGTCTGACGCTCTCCCAACTGAGCTATCCCCGCTAGATATTATTTACTTCTACTTATTAATTATTATCATTTCTACACTCTATAAAGCATTTTTTTAAAAAACTAATCAAGTCTTTTTTAAATAATTTCAATTTTGACCATCAAAATAGGAAGGCAACAAATCAGCTCCATGATTATCCCAACTCCTCTCGTCTTTATCCAGTCCGATTTCCCGCCAAATTGCAAGAAACTAGTAACGATTTCCCTCCTCCGCCATTGATTTCTACAAAGCAGGGCATCGTTGAAGTTATCGATTTCTATGAAGCAGGCATCGTTGAAGTGTTGTTCATCATAACCATAACCAGGTATGTATTCATTCGATCTTCTATAGCATAGTGTTTCCTTTAGTTGATTGATATTTTGTACGCACATGTTTTAGTTAGGAACGTAGAATGTATTGATCTACTTCATTGATTGTTATCTGTTTAGTGATTTTTCAGCTGCTATTCATTGTTTGATTTGTTTCCCTAGGAATCCCTACACCTATCTATCTGTTTGGTTTTCAAAAACTTACATGAAATGTTTTAGCGAAGCAAATGTATGATTCTGATCAAACTTCTTAAAAATCAGCAGCTTCATCTACTTCAGAGTACTCCTAATAACTTGTTAATTTCAAACGTCCAAGTTAATTTTCGTTCTAATTTTCATAAGCATCCTGACACTTATTTGAATTCTCTTCCAAATTACAGTAGATCAATCCCAAAATTCATAGCCATCAATGTGAAATTCTGCATTTGCTCTTTAACTTACGCTACTTGTATGTATATTTCTTCTAGACTAGAACACATGCTATTCGAAAAGCTCATGAAAACATTATAGGGCTTTGAAGGCATTACTCTCATTGATTTAGTCCTTTTGGAATTGGAGCAACCCTAGTACTTCTGTTGGTTGGATTTAATTATCTAATCTACACATGTACTCATATGGATAGAATTTAACCAAAAACAACTGCATCCTGAAATTATACAGTAAAAGTAGAAAGCTTTTTACAAGAAATATGGCTCCTACCGAAGATCGGATAACCTGGAACAACGAGAATATTGTAATATTTTGTGATGTTTGTATCGACTATATTGCTAAGAATAGACGTGGTCAACTGATGAGATGGAAAGAGATAGAAGATTTGTTTACAGAAAGGATTGGTAAAAGATATCACTCTAAAAGCTTAAAGAACAAATATGATTCAATGAAAAAAGATTGGCGCATTTGGAAATTTTTAAAAACAGGAGAACCCGATTTAGGTTGGAATCCAACGACAGGAAAGCTAGATTGTCCAGATGAATGGTGGGAAAGAAAGCTAAAGGTATTATTGAAATATTATTTTTATAAAAATTATAATGTCTTATTAATTCATTTTATAGGAGAAAGCCGATGCCAAGAAATACCGACATAAGGGAGTTTGTCCACTTGTTGAAGAAAAATGGGATCATTTGTTTGGAGATGCAACTGGAGTGATTTGTGTAGCTCCCTCGTTAAATCAAGAGTTTGGTTTAATGCGGGAGAATAATATACAAAAGGTTCACCAAAACCATTCTGAAATTATGGGTTTGATCAAGAAGGGTAAAGACACGAAAAAGGATGAGGTAGGAACAAGTATTGATGAGATAATGGATATTATGAACCGAATAGTTGCAAATAATGATGATGATGTTAAGGTTGGTGGAGATATTTGGTGTCATGCGATGCTTATGTTGCGGGATCCCACTAATAGGGAAATATTCTCCAAGATGCCAAGTGATGATGCTAGATTGGCTTGGTTGAAGTTTGCTCAAACAAGAAATATATTTTGATTGAAATATTTTCTTAGTGAATTGTTTTTTCAAGGTTATTGATGTTAGTACTTAGTTAGATGCTGGTTTTTTATTAGATGCTAATATTGTTTATATGGGTCTTGCATTTGAGTATATTAAAACCAAAGTTGCAACATTCCAACGCCTATCACATCATATTGAAAATTTATGCCTTACTTTAAAGTAAATGAATGCGATAATTTATATACATATATTTTCCATATTGTTGTTGAAACATTTTCTTATCAGGGTGCATTGGTGGTACTCATATGGATCAGAAAAGGAGTCCTTACATTCAATCGATAACAATTTGAATATTGTTGTTAAAAAAAGATACTAAGAATAAATTTTTTATAATGAATAATAATACCAAGAAACTCTAGGAGTCCCAATTACATAACTTTCTCTATATAACAACATGCTAATTGCTACACAAGTGTTTTCATATATATATATATATATATATATATATATATATATATATATATATATATATATATATATATATATATATATATTCCACAGCATGAAACAACAAATCCCCACACCACACCCCCAACACAGCATCTACTCTCATATACACAAGCAGCCCACACACCATAACGTCTACTTTCAGTCATACACAAACACAAACCCGCCAACCCCAAACCGATTGGCCCGTATGCATACAGGTCAACCCTTCAACCAATTCGACAAAAACGGTCCAGCATCACACGGGTCAACCATCTCTTTGCACAAAACCCACCCACAACAAGACCCTTTTACCAGTCTTGAAAACAATATTATCTCCATACACATAGGGCAAAGTATGTAATAACATCACACTATCCTCTCTTTATCTTTCCCTCTCTTGCTTAATTTCCCCCACCAATGTTTACCCCGCTTATCACCACCACCACCACCGCCGCCGCCTCCTCCGCCACCACAACCGCCGCCGTCACCGCCACCCTCACTTTCTGGATGTACACCCTTCATGAGTCTCGCTTTGGCCTCCCGCAACCGCTGTTTGTACTCTTTTTTCCACATCTCGAATCTCTTTTTTAAACTTTTATACTCTTCGATTTGCTTTGCAGAAGGCGGGCGGCCCGGCTTCACGTCTATAACAGCTTTAGCATCGGTATCGAAAACCTGCTTTTTTTGTTCAAACTCCTTGGACAAGTGATCGATGGTGTCCGAGACAACGCCATTGGCGTTGGATTCCCGTTTATTGATTCCGATTCTGGCGGGGGTAACTTGCACCGGAGTTTGGATTCCGGAGATATTGTCTTCGGAATCATAATACGGCGAAAGTGAACCCTCTGGCTTTCCTTGTTGCCCTTCAGACATGTCTGAACCAAGAGTCTTTTTAGCTGCAGCAAGACTCATCTGTATTGTAAAATCCACCAACAAATACCATGATTAGACCAATTGTTTGTAAAAAAAAAAAAAAAAAAAAAAAAAAGGATAAAACTTACTTGTAAAGATGCCATCTGAGTTTGCCACATCTCCTCTACTGCCTTCATTTTAGTTTCATATTCTGACCACCGCATTTCAAATTGTCGAATTTGGTCCCTCAATGCAGTATTTTCACGCTCTCTTTCGCTCAAAGACGATTCCGCCCTCACCACTCGCCTCTGCAGCTCTTCAACATTTTGTGGCAGAATCGGCATATTTTCCTGTGATAAACCCTAAAAACCAATCCACAAGATTTTCAACAACAATTTATTTTTTTAAAACTACAAAACAATTCAATCAATGTATAGATTAGATTACCTTGGATTCTGAATTTCCAGTGTGAGACCTTGACCTGCTTTTAGAACCATCAACAGCCAACTTCTTCCATCTTTGTAAGTGATTAAAATACCTTCGAGTCAACCAGCCACGAACAAATGACTGTAGATGTACAACTGCTGTTAAATGCTCATCAAGTGAACTTGTTGCAAGCTGCTTATTAAGACTCTTTAAAACACCATACTCCCTTCTTGCATTCTCACCACGAACAACTGCATCAATCAATCAACCAAATCAAAAACTTTAATCCTTTAATAATTCCACTAAAAAAAATCAAATATACAAATCACTTACATGACTGCAATGTCACAACTCCAAACTTCAATTCATGTAAATCAAGAAGAACTCGGCCACCAAGGAAGCTGTTTTCCACTTCACGTGTACCTTCCACAACTTCTTGTCTATTATTCTCCAATACATCAACCTACACCCACCAAATTGCATTAATAAAATATAGAGTAAATTACACGAATGGTCCCTATGGTTTGGAGTGATTTACACATTTGGTTCCTAACTTATTTTTTTAACTTGGAAGGTCCCTACTATTTGTTTTTGTTACGTGTTTGGTCCCTATTGTTTGTTTTTGTTACACGCTTGGTCCCTATCTTACCTAAAAAGACTATTACTTAAATAGAGAAAAATGGTAGGGTAGGTAAGGTAAGACGAAGGGGTGGGGTTAGGGTGTGTGTTTATTTAAATAAATTAAAAAATCAAGGGCAAAATAGTCTTTTTTAGGTACGACAGGGACCAAGCGCGTAACAAAAACAAACAGTAGGGACCTTCCGAGCTAAAAAAATAAGTTAGGGACCAGACGCACAAATTACCCTAAACTATAGGGACCATTCATGTAATTTACTCTAAAATATACAATAGGATAAAAGTTTATCAGTCACACCAACTTTTTATTAGTTTTCAAAGCTCACCTGTTCTTGGAAAAAGAATTTTGTATATCCAACTTGATACGTATGTGGAGGGACACGATACTGTTGTAAAATAGCAAGTGATGTACTCAGTGGATCCATACAGATAATGTTCTCCGATAAAAGACACCCAAACCTGATAATACATTTTTTTTTAAATGAAGCACAATACGAAGGGCATAATGGGGAAATGAGTTTTAATTTATACCGGTTAGCGAATTCTTGATGTGTAAGGCGTATTGAGTATCTGGATTTTAAGATTTGTACAATTTCCATGACTCTACTGCATCTAAGCTGTTGTAATACAAATTCCTTTTCATACATTCCAGGAAGTTGCTTGGTGTTTGGTCTTATGCATCGGATAAAGTGTGCCTTTGAATTTTCTAATTGCTGAATCAATTTAAATAATTGCTCCTGCAAATTCATCATCCAGAAATTTTATTAAAACCCAAATTCAATCATATTTTCAAATTCCCCACAATAATATAATTATTACCTTGAACTTCACCCCGACACTTTGCACATGTGAACCAGAGGCAAAAAGATTAAGGAGACTTTTACGTGATGCTGAGAGGAGTTGGATTATATCAGACTGTAAAGTATCACGGTTTTGTTCTAAGAACCCTGTAGCATCATATTGAACCTGCACGTATATATATATATATATATATATATATATATATGTAATTATTTATCAAAAATATGTTCATTGTTTAATTAGTAGTAATAATGACTTAATAATAATTAATAAATACCTCTCCAGCATAATGGCGAACTTTGAAAGCTCCTTTTTCAACACTAAAGCATGAATTAGAACTGAGGTGACGTTTAGTTTTATTAGTAAATGTTACATCAGTGGCTTTGGAAGAATTTGAACCCTCGTCTAGCATTGATATTAGTCCCATAGGTTTCTGTTACATTCAAAGAATTTAAAATAAATAACCGAATTAAATGAATGAATGAAAATGAGATCAAAACTGATACCTTCTCAAAAAGATCCAAACACTCATGGTTGTCTTCGAACTCTACCTTTTTCCAGTGAATTCCTTCCAATTCGTACTCCTAACAATTATAAATAATTAATATCGTTTATACTTTATATAGAAAACAAAACGCTATCAACTATATTAATTAATATATTTTACATATAGTTATATATACCTCTTGTTCAAGCTTACATAGATGGCGAATGAAGTGCTGCTGCAGCCTCTCATCAGCATAATTTATACACAACTGTGAAAAGCTGTTTTTCTGAAACAAAAAAAAAACAAACAAACAAACGAAACTTGTCACATTAAAGATAACCATGGATTCTAAAATTACAAGAAGAAAAAAAAATTACCTGAAATGACTCAAACCCATAAGTGTCAAGAATGCTTATTGTCCTTGGATTATGTTGTTTGTCTTTGTCCCCTTCAAGTGATCTATTAAGCTCTCCCACAACCCAACTGAACAAGCTCTCATAAACAAATTTTGCCAATGCGTCTCTTTTATCAATTGCCTAAAAGTAAATAAACCAATCCTCAATAACGAGACGAGGGGTATTTACGTCTTTTGCACAAATCTTGACATACCTGTTGCAAAGTTAATGGTTCGCCCATATCATTGCCAGATAAAACAGACACCAGGTCATTCACCTTGCATCCCATTAACTTAGCAGCGCTCCTACTAGCTTCAAATACAAAAAACACACACACAAATTAGAAATAATAGAAAGAGTAGAGAGTATGTATTAGTATTAAGTATTAACTTTACAGAATTAAATCACATAACTACAAACCTTCATCAGCCACAACCTCAACATATTCATCTTCATCAATTACTGTAAATGAAATATTCCCAAGCCATAAGATTGCAGACAGCAATTCAAAGGCATGCTCAAGATCCTCAAGGCGAATCCCAACAACATCAAACGCTTCCTGTTCATTGTTCAAACATTTGTTAAAAAAAACATCATTTCTGATTTCTCAATTCTCAATCAATAAATAGCTTAAAAACCCTAAATTATACCATTAGCTTTTCAAAGTTATGGGCATCATCAAGACCATTGATTTTCAAACACCCACTCTGATTCAGAAACTTATACTCACTTGCCAATTTCAAATTCAGTCTATCTGAGGAAAGAACAAAAAGTAAAAAGTCTGGTCATTTCCTGGGAATTACTGTGTAAAACAAAAACTGTAAATTTTTTCAGTGACAGAATTAAAATCGAACAGAAAGAACCTTTAAAAGCAGGTGGAGCCCCAGCACACATCTGATAGAAGATATGAAATGATCGTTCTCCACGACATAATTGAGATACTCTAAACTGCACAAATCAAAACTACTTCAAAACTTATATTCTAGAAACAAATATCAAACATAAAAAACTAAATACCTTTTCAAGAAGAACTGTTGGCAATACCATAAGATGTTGATGTTTTTCACATGAAAATATCAAGTCAGTATCTATATAAGAAAGTCATATTAAAATAATGGTCAGTTTCAGACTTACGTGTTTTAATACAAGCACCAGATACTGTCCCCTCTGTGTTATAATAAATATCGATTAATTTCCCCTACATTGCAAAAAAACACCAAATCAGATACATATACATTCAGGGAATAGGAATAGGAATCAATGACTAGAAAGGGAATGGAACCCACGAATCGGCTGGAATTGCAATTCCGGGATGTTTTTGCATTCCCGAAAGCTTCCAAAATGCAACTGGTATGAGTTATTTTGGATGCCATCTCACAATTGTCACCTCCAACAGATGCCAGATATTGCAGTGCAAACTTTGCTGTTTCTGTCTTCCCAGATCCACTTTCACCCCCAACAACAATAGACTGGTTTCTACCATCTGATCAAGAAAAAAATATTAACATTATGAATTTAGGATTCAATATATTGAACTCTTTTTATTGAATCTCACATTTCATCAGATTGTTGTAAGCAGTGTCAGCTGTAGCATATACATGAGGGTTCTCCAAAATCTTTTCCCTATAAGCAGTCACATAATCGTCTCCATAAATTTGAACATCTTTGAAGGGATTGATTGCTAATAGGACGGGGCCCACCTTACTCTGTAAAAGCAAACCCATGTCTAAGCCAAAGAAGTAAAGTAAAGACATCAAGACATATAATATAAGATGTTTAAGTGTGGATGATATTCTTACATAAATTACATCACGAGCATATCTGTACTGGAGATTGTGAAGAACTGATGGCTCATTCAGGTAACCAAGTTCAACAAGATCGTCTACTCCATCAAGAACTTCTGGGTTTGCAGGTAAGAGATCTGCTGTAGATACTGTCATCACCTACAGAAACAGGGATGGAAGTACATTCACATCAATAAAATGTTGGATTGAAGAGATTTGTGATTAATTAATTAGTAGACTCACACTTCCATCCAAAAGCATAACAGATGCTTCATCTCCTACGGTTGATTTGATCTTTGCCAACTCCCATTGGTCATTGCGGGGCCTACACCATACTCGAAGTTTCTGAAGCAAACCAGTTAAGAGCATCAGAATTGAAGAAGTGAAAAAGTGAACCTGTTGATCGAAGGTGGATGAATTGAAATGAGTAAATCATTTACCTTCTTAACGAAATAACAAATACTATCTTCCCAATCAGTTTCCTGTGAGATCGATAGAGTAGCAAGGGTAGCACCACCGTCCTCCGTCAGTCTCTGCTCACAAACAGGCGCCATGGTGTATGGTGATTCGCCAACAGCTGCCGCTGCTGTCACTTTCTTCCGGCCAAAATGACAGACGCTGCCAGTAATACATTTGACATCTTGCTTTTTGATGTTAGTGAAATCTGGAGGCGCAACATATTCAACATCAAGCTTCGCCGGAAGCAGTCGCTTAGGGAGGCGTGCCTTGGATGTAGGCCGTGTCGGCAACGCCGGCGGCAAGTCTCGATTCTCGTCCTCGTCTCTCCGACGAAGAGAGTCGAGCATTTCCTCCAAAGAACTCCGAGCTACCGGGGGTGGAGAAAGTATCATCTTTTCAGAAATTACAACACCACACTCTCGAATTGAATTCAAAAACCCCTAAATTAACATATAAACTAAAATCATTATGCTTCAAAATTGAAACAATGCCGATGATAACGACATTGCTGAAAAAACTCTATAAACCCTAATCCAATCCAACATCAATTGATCAGAATTAAACAATCAACGACCCCAATCTCGCGAACCAATTGCAAGATTCAATCCTTCAAAAAACTCTGCTACAAAATCCCAACCTGAACAGCTGAAGATTCCCTTAATTTTTGGGATTTTGACGAAAGAAAATACGTATAAAAAAACCAAAATCTACGAGGGTAGAAGAGGGTTTTACGCAAAAATCGATGTCTTTGTTTTCTACTGTCTAAAAGCACGAGTTACAGGATTAAGACGACGATCGATGAAAGATTGCTCAGGGTTGTCCCCAAAATCAAACCGGATATAGAACAATTTGAGGAGAAAGATATCCGTTGAAAAAGAAACTTTAAGAAAAAGCCTGGCGTGGCTGTTCCTAAATTCATAAAAATTTATTTTGGAAAAAGGAAAAGAAAACCCACAATAATTTCTTTTGGGTTTGGTTTGGTTTGAATGTTTGATGCTCGATGGGAAATTTTGAATTTTTCAAGAAGATAGTGGTGGCGCGGGGTGCCGTATAAGTTATAACGATTGAACTCAGATTTGATGGTAAATATGGTAAAGACAAACAAAGTTACTGGTAGTGAAATGTAATTTAAGGCAAATTTGAAAGAATTTTCTTCCATTTAAGTACATTATTAGGAAATTTGGATTTTTGAATTTGTTATAATGAAAACCTAATTAGTATTTTAGATTTCAAATTGATTTTGATTTGTGAAATAATAATAATACAATCAAACCTAATAACAATTATTATATATATATATTAAAGCTATGAAAAATTTTAACAGTAGTATTTGTTTGGTTGAAATTTCTTTTTTCAATTAATGTTACAATATTCATCCTTCATCTTTATGTTTTTTTCATAAACAATCATTTCAAATTTTCCATAACTCTCACCTTTTATTACATATTATTAGTATTTAGTCATATTAAAATTTTTTTGGCAGGGAAGGTCCCTCAACTATATTTGAATCATTTTAAAGTTGTTTCCTTTTTATCTTTTTTGGTCCCTCTACTTCCGTTGGTTATTTGTGGCATTATAAGTTCCTATGTTTTCGTATAATTATCACTTTATTAGTTTTGCTTACAGATTCATTCATATTTTTTTATTTCTTATTTGTTTATTTATTTATAGATCAGTTAAAGAGGGAAGGAATGAGCAATTCAAACTATAAACATTTTCAAAGAACAAACAAACGGAAAAAATTATCGCATCCGATCCCCGCAACGCGGAGATTCCCCATCTAGTATATATTAAAGATGTGAAGAATTTTAACATAAAGTGGCGGATTTTTGGCAAAAATGGTCCCTTTATTATTGTTTGTCTTTTATTGTTGGAGACCTTATTATTATTATTATTATTATTATTATTATTATTATTATTATTATTTTATTTATTTATTTATTTATTTATTTGTTTATTTATTTTATTTATTTATTTTTTTTTTTATTTTTTTTGGGGGGGGGGGGGGGGGGGGGGTCTCTCTCCAGATCCTTCCACACCTTGAACTCCAACAAGAAAGGGGTTACCATGGGGTTACTTCCCGATCTTTCTACTCTGCTACTCCAAATCCCACCGCTCTTATTATTTATTAATATACTATATATTAAATATGAAACTTGTGTATTATATGAGTTTAGAGAAATTAAAATGTCTCCTATCTTTTATGTCTATAAATACTTTTATCTCTTAAAATTATAACATGTGTCACTATTCCATATTTATTTAACTATCTCATTAATAGTATATTACAAATATATATTAAATAAAATTAAATTGAATTGTGGAATTATGATATGTGTCATAATGTTAATTGGTATAAAATATTTATAGGCATAAAAGGTAGGAGGCAATTTGATTTCTCGTAAACTTATTAAAAAAAATATCAGCTTGTGAACATAAATAATTTTAAAATAATATATATATATATATGTGTGTGTGTGTGTATAAGGGATCTATTGAATAAGTATGTAATTGAACCCAAAATACTAAAAATTAATATGATATATTCTAAATAATTGTTATAAATCATAAATTTTTAAATACTTTTGAATATAATATTAGATATTCTATCGCTAATGTTACCGTCATTGTCTAAAATTAATATTTTCAATTTGTCTCTGTTTTTAACTATATAAGACTGAATTATTTTGAACACATGGATATTCTTAAAGTGATTTTCCTAACAACGATACAAATTGTTTTTCAGCAACATTACATTCAAAATTTGTCCCCTTGTACAAAAGTAATAAATTTAGTTAATATCAATATTGTTAACCATACAATAACGTACATATGTTGTAATTATAATATAGAAAATTAATTAAAAAATAATACATGAAATGTCACTTGTTCGATCATCAAAATCATTCCAATAAAACGAATTTATTGAGGGTTATTTTAGATTATGCTTCCAGCTATGGATTATCCTGACCTTAATTATGTGATCATCTTTTGATAGCGCAGGGTCACTACGCATGCTAATTTTGCTTGGATCCCTATCAACTTGTAATAAAATAGCATCGTATTTTACTTAATAAACTTAATAATATTTGCCATGAAAAAATTTGATAATCTTTATGCCCTTTTAACTGTGCATGTAGTGTGCAAATAATAAAGAAAAACATAAAAATATATTAGTTTGGTAGAATTCAGTAACAAATATGGATAAAAGACTATAAAACTTAAATTATTTTTAAAAATACTTTATATACCCCAAGAATAAAAGCACAATGGTAAAGTGGTACAATGGTAAAGTGGTGTGTATTCCATCATAGTGAAAATTTAATTATTATTATTACCGACAGCGGAATGTGAAAAACCGTTGTTAATATTTCATCTATATGATTTCTTCAACGTAAAACATTGGTCGCATAAACTTACTAATTACAATTTTTTTCCAGCTTCTTCCTTCCTCCTACTTCACGCAACCATCCAAGAACGACGTCTTCTTCCCATGTTCTTCAAGCTCCATTGATCAAGATCGATGCCAAACTTCTAACCTCCTAACAATTGAATCCGTTAAGGGTCACAATGTAACGTCTGCAAATCCGAGCTAGTCAATTTAGAGACGATGAGCATCAAAAATGAGTTTTTGATGGAATATTATTTAGAAGGATTAATCTTAACCAAGGTTTAGTATATGTTACAAGGGTTTCTTATATATAAAGAACGCCAAAATATAGGGATGGCAAAAAAACCCGAACCCGACGGGGAAACCCGAAACCCGATCATTTCGGGTCGGGTAACGGGTCGTTATCGGGTTTTTTATCGGGTTCGGGACAGGGAGTGGGTTATCCTCGCCCCGCCCCGATTATATATATATATATATATATATATATATATATAATATATATATATATATATATATAATGTTCAAAAAAAATTGCTGTTAATTGTACACGTTCAAATATAAAATACTTATCGTGGACAATTTTTTTAGTTATTAACAATCTGGTGTTAATAATCATTTTTATGTGTTTTGATATATTAAACAAAACTTAAATCAAATAATTTTTTATATAACGTCCAGTTTATTTTATTAAAGTGATGCATCGTGTTTTTAATTTAAAAGAGTTGCTAGAACATGTATATTTTATAAGACATTGGGGTACCCTAAAAGAGAATAAAGATTTCGTTATCAGTTGTTGTAAACCCGATAAGATACCCAAAACCCGACGGGGAAACCCGAAACCCAATGGGGCGCCCCGATAAGATACCCGAAAGTTATCGGGGCGGGTTTGGGAATCCATGCCCCGCCCCGAACCCGCCCCATTGCCATTCCTACCGAAATCCGAGTTATAACGAAGAAGTTATGGCTCGTCGAAGTTTTACGACAAAACCAACACGACACCGGGAGACGTAAATAATGAATTTACGGCAGATGACTTTTTAGCCTTAGTAATCTAAACAAAAGTCATAGAATATAATAATCTGAGAGCGTCCATAAAAAGAACGCCCAAATCTAACTTCATATGAGGAAGTTATGATTTTTCTAAGATTTAGCATGGGAGTGCACAATCAAAAACTTGAATTTTAGTTCGAACGGTTTTTGGCATACGCAACCTAAATTAAATTTTAAGATCTCATTAATAGGAACTCAACGGTAAAAAGAGAGACGAAAACGGAGTTTGTATGTAGCAGTTATGAATTTTACGCGAACATTTAACATTATAATCTCATTGTACTGTTAAATTTAAGATCGGTTGAGAATTA